TGGCGGGCACCTGTGGTCCCAGCTACTTGGGAGACTGAGGCAGGAGACTTGCTTGAGCCCAGGAGTTGGAGGTTGCTGTGAGCTGTGGTGCCACGGCACTCTGCTGAGGGGGATAGCTTGAGGCTCTGTCTCAAAAATAAAATAAAATAAAATAAAAATAAAAAAGATGTTGAGATCAAATGGGCTCTAATTACTATAAATTCAAGGTGCCAGTGCCTAGAAATTGCAAAATGAGGGCAAAGAACATTCTTTAGGAAATGCCTTAATTAACTTCATTTCTGTCTTGGAGTATTTTATTTACCTGTTTCCCCGAAAATAAGACACTGTCTTATATATTTTTTTTCTCAAGAAGACACACTAGGTCTTATTTTCAGGGGCTGTCTGATTTTTATTAAGTATAATACAACAATCTACATTTATTCAAATACAGTTAAGTCATCTTCTTCTGGAACCTGACAGGGGGAGCAGACCTTGTTGGTGGGGCTGGCGCTAGTGATGCGTGAACTCCTTTCCCCTAGCCGTTTGCACGTGCACAATAGGATGCCTGTGACCGCGGTTACCACATGTGCATACGTGCGGGTGTGAACAGCTTGGAGAAAGGAGCTGTGGCAGATAAAAGGTATTCCAGTCTTCCTTACCACTCTGGGCCAAAATGGTCTTATTATCGGGGTAGGGCTTATATTTCACAAATGCATAGAAATCCTGCTAGAGCTTATTTTTTGGGTAGGTCTTATTTTCGGGGAAACACAGTAGCAGTAATCTGTTCAGTACTGTTCAATCATTTATTTGGTAATTGTATATGTAGCAGACAGCATGAGTTTTGGGCTATGAGTTAAGAATTCCAAATCGAACAAGACTAGAGACCTGCACTTTAGGGGCTCCTGGATCGCTGGACATAAACAAATAATTGGAATGTAATGTTCCGTGACTACCAACACATAGAATAGTGCCCAAAGAAGGGAGTCTGCAGCTTTATTTAGTTGGGCCAGGGAAGCCTTCATAAGTGTAGAGACCATTGAACTTGGTTTTAAAGGAAAATGAACAGCTCACCAGGGCTAAGTGGGCGGAGGGGATGAGAAGTGTAATATAATTTGTGAAGAGGTATTTAAATGTGAAAAGAAACAGGTTAGAAAAGAAACAAGTCAGGAGGGGCACCCACAAGTTGTCAGACACAAAAGAGGTTCCATAAAATGCTCTGGGAGACGAGACCAGGACCAGATAGATCACAGTCAGTTGAATCTTGTGCTAAGAAAATTTTATCTTTTGGAGGATTCCTGGATGGACGAGACTTTATGGGAAACTCTCAATATCAATGTATCTAGGCAAATCTAAAAGCAACCCTCCCTCCTAGGTGACTATATAGAAATTTTATAGATTAAAAAAAAAATATTATTGGATGTGCTTCTGGGCCTACCTTGACTAACAATTTATCTCCCAAACTGGGTTATTTTTGTGAGTAAGAGGCAGCCCTAGCCAGGTGAGATATTGGAACAATAGGAGTAAGCCAAGCCTGCTCCATGCACACCAGAGCTTGACCCAAATGGGCTGACAGCTCAGGAGGAGAAGTCAAGTTCTGCTTTCTGGGCATTCATACCCTGAGAAAGGGGGAGTAGGTGTGATATGGTGGAACATTCTGTGACTGTGAACTCCATATTTGGGAATGTAGGTGGGGATGAACTTGGACTTCCTGTCTCTCCATGTGGGTTAAAATGAGATCTCCGAATGCTGAAAACACTTAAAACTCTGGCTCGTCTTGAAAGACCCTGTGGGATACGGACCACTGGATAAAGAAGTTCTGTTGCCTCTGTCTCTTGGGAAGTCTGTAAACATGAAGCTGTTTCTGGTTCTTGTTATTCTGCTTTTTGAGGTACTCACAGGTAACTTGTCCAAACGTATCATAAAATCCTAGAAGATATAGCTGTTTATAAGAATGAGGACAGGACCTTCAAGGTAGTTAATGTCTGGCCAATATCATCAAAAGTGCCCATTCTCTTGGGTGCCTGAGTTGAGTCTGTGCCTTAGAAGAAAGTGTCCAGGGAGTTAAGAGGGGGCCAGGGCTGCAGGTTCAGGGGTTCTCTTCAAAGGTATCAATGAATCCATCATTGAGAATTATCTTTATAATGCTGAATACTCTTTTCACCTGAGAACCTGGCCATCCCCATTTCCATTCATTTTCAGACTACAACAACAAGGACATGGTCTGGAGTGATGTCAATGTGAAGTTAAAATATGTCTTCATCATTGACTAGTTGTACAAAAGGCACATTATTCCCTTGTCATCTGTCAAGTGAATGTAGTGACTATTTCATAATAATTCTATTTTATGTGAGGATTACATGAACTTCCAAATGTGAAGCACCGAGTTTATGGCAGAGGCACGGGCAGTGAGAGTTCCCTTCTCCCTTGTTAGGAAGAAGGCATATAGTCTTTCTGTGGCCCCAAATATAGCCCTCTACCCTCCCAGGATGTTCCTTCTTGATGTAGGGGCCCCATGCACTGCTCAGAAAAGGTGACAGTTTGGATCTCTAAGGAGGTAGGTATTCATGGAATTGAGTTTGATCCTTGGGCAACATTTATCTGAGATCAAGAGGAATGTGGGGAGTAGAGATGGCTGGAGCCAGGTTGTGAAGAAATCAGGCTGAATAAGGGAAAGAGTTCTCAACAGCATTGGCTGCTAAGCCCCATGAGATCTTGGCAAAGGGTGATGGCTGCCTCCTGTCTCAGGATGGGATACCCAATTACACTGTGAACTTAAAAAGTTCTGTTTGTAATGTTCTCTTAAGAGTTGCTTTGGCTCTAAATTGTGCCGATGGTAATAAATTAGTGCTCTCTGGGGACATGGGACAGAGACAGGGTGGAGGTGAGGGAGTACTGACTTGGAGCTTGGAGGAGACAGCTTTGCCAAGGTCCTGGGGCTGGAACACGGCTCCAGCCAATAACCAGGAATTGATCTCTCGCTTATCTATTATCACGTTAAGTCCTATTACACGTTCTGGGAGCCACGCAGGCAGTTGGCTAGGAACCTGGGGTTTGGAGTGTCCTTAATTTGGTTTCTTGTTCAAAAAAGCAGGGGGCTCTGAGTTTCCTTTTATCAGCTTAAGATTTGCTTTGGGAACACAGGAGTCCATGACCACATACCTCTTCTACTCTCTCTCAGGAACTAAACTTGGTTCAATGTTGATTACCATATACAGATGGAGCACGACCCAGAAAATGCTCTAATGAGATCGGAGGCTTCTGCAGGAAGAAATGCAAAGTAGGGGAAGTCTATGAATCGGGATGTCTAAGGAGAAAATTATGTTGTGTTGATGAATACGAGAGAAGAAAGTACTTGGCAGCCCATAATCCGCCACGTCAACCAGGGAAGAAGGTTGACCGGGATGAGAAGCTGGACTACAGTATTTTACCCACCGTCACTCTCGTCACAATCGATTTCTAAGGCCAGCCCACATCTCACTGGTCTTCCTAAATCGGAAGTGCCGCCTAATCCAGCAGGCTGCAGCCAGAGGTTTTTCTGCCTCCTTCTGTGAATTTGATTCCACACCTAATAAAGTCCTGTGCTGTTCCCTGTGTTTACTTATTGATGTCACTCTTTTTGTAGAACACTTCAAACATGAATGAATTGTCGCCACGTTCCAGTTATTACACTACTAACACGGGGCATGTAGAGTTCAAGTAAAAACATGAGTAGAGGTGGGTGTGAGCCCTTGTCATGGCAGACAATAGTTCATAGAATTTTAAGATTTTAGGTGTTTCTTCTTTTTTTAAAAAATGACATTTTTTATGTCCAATCAGATCTGAATGCCCCAGCTCTGTGTGTGTGTGCCTGCACACACACACGCACATATACACGTGCCTGTGCTTATGAAAATAGAGGATTTTGCTAATAAGTAATAATTCATTAGAGGGATGAAAGATATTTGAACATTTTCATGACATTTATTGGGGCAGCTCTGATGGGCAGCTGGTGGTAACTCCAGTATATAATTTGCAACTCAGGTAATGTGCATGTCCTTCTCCTTTTAAAGTAGCAATTTGAACGACTAGTTGATAGAGTTTTCAGACAAATATTACTCTTAGGATCTTTGAAAGCATAGCATGTTCTGTTTGTTTCAGTAGTATGAAATTTAAAGCCTTATTGAAAACGACAGAGCTCCTGGGTGGCACCTGTGGCTCAGTGAGTAGGGCACCAGCCCCGAGGGTGGCGGGTTCAAACCTGGCCCCAGCCAAACTGCAACAGAAAAATAGCTGGGCGTTGTGGTGGGCACCTGTAGTCCCAGCTACTCAGGAGGCTGAGGCAAGAGAATCGCTTAAACACAAGAGTTTGAGGTTGCTGTGAGCTGTGTGACGCCATGGCACTCTCCCAAGGGAATAAAGTGAGACTCTGTCTCTACAAAAAAAAAAAAAAAAAAAAAGACAGCTCCTTCTGAGCTAGATAAATTGCAGTAAGTCATGAGGGTAGGAAAAGCTCTCCCGATGAGAAGAACAGAAACTTTTGTAGTGACATCCATTGATAGTGCTTGATGTAAAGCATTAGTCATAAATAACTTGGTTGAAGCTAACATTTACTACGGGACAAAGAAAGGGCTCGTTACTTCACGAGCAGCTCACCATCTTGTTTTACTGGGGAGAGAGAGAGAGAACTATTTATATAGACATGTTCACGTTTCAAGAGCACACACGTTTCTTCATTTTAGTAATTGTGGCTTTTGGAAATTCTGGAGAAGGAAAACGATGACTGGACTTTGCAGAATGTAAAATGTTTTTGCAACAAAACATTTAAGATGTGGAAACTAATGTAAAGCTGTTTTCTACCCAGTTCTGAGAGGGCTTTTAACATAAGGCTCACACAAGAAAGCCTTTTTTTTTTTCATTGCAACACTTCCCAAGCACCTCTCCTTTTTCATCTTGATTACGATGTCACCAGGGGCTTTTTAATTTTTTTTTTTTTTAATGGTTGGGGATTCATTGAGGGTACAAGAGTCACCAGGGGCTTTTTAAGAAGGGTCATTCTGTCACTGTCACAATGAAGATGGGTCGGGCCCACTGTCTTTAATCTGTATGTGTTCTCCAGTCTGTATGAGTCTACTGTTAGATTAGATCTGAGGACGTGTTTAGCTTAGTGTTCAGATAAATCAGGGAAATGTCTCCTGACTTGGGGGAGATGGGTATAATCAACAGAACAGATAAAATAAACCTTGAATTCTACTTTGACTCATTTGGTCTCATCTTTGCTTTGACTTTTTCCCTGTTACCTGTATCCTCTCCATACTCAGAGAATTGGGTGTATTCAGCATTGTTAGATGTTTGTGTGGTTTTTTGTGTGTGTATGTGAGACAGACTCTCACTCTGTCACCCTGGGTAGAATGATGTGATGTCATAGCTCACAGCAACCTCAAACTCTTGGGCTCAAGCGATCCTCTTGCCTCAGCCTCCTGAGTAGCTGGGACTATAGGTGCCCACCATAACGCCCAGGTAGTTTTCTATTTTTAGTAGAGAGGGGATCTCAGTCTTGCTCAGGCTGATCTTGAACTCCTGAGCTCAAGTAATCCCCCTGCCTTGAGCCTCCCTGAGTGTCAGGATCACAGGCGTGAGCCACTGCACACAGCTGCACGTTTATTTGTTCGCTTTATTTTTATATACAGAATCACATTGAAATCCTATATTTTCATTATTAACCCTCTTTTGGCGCAGGTAGTATTATTGGTACTTTATTTTTCTTAGATTTATTAGAGAGTATTCCCCAAAATCTAATTAGAATTTTTTAAAAATTTGTGCAAATTTATGGGGTATATGTGAAATTTTCTTACATGTATGCTATGCATAGCGACTGAGTCAAGGTATTTAAGGTGTCCATCATGTAAGTATATTGTATTTTTATTTTATTAAGTATAGTCACCCTGCTCCACTATCAAATTGAATTGATTCCTTTTGTTAAACTGGACACTTTAACCCACTTCTCTCCATCCTCCTCACCTTACTGGCATTGGTATGTTGATCTTGTGTCCTGCAACTTAACTGAACTCATTTATTAAGAGTTTTTTGGGGTAGAGTCTTTAGGATTTTCTAGTTATAAGATCATATCACCAGCAAATAGGGATACTTTGACTTACTCTTTTCCAATTCGAATGCCTTTTATTTCCTTCTCTTGCCTGATCAGTCTGGCTAGGATAGACGCAAGTGGGCCTCTTTGTCTTGTTCCAGTTCTTAGAGGAAAGGCTTTCAACTCTTCCCCATTCAGCATGATGATAGCTGTGGGTTTGTCATGTATGGCCTTTATTATTTTGAGGTATGTTCCTTCCAAGTCTAGTTTGTTGAGAGATTTTATTGTGAAGGGATGTTGAATTTTATCAGGTAATTTTTTCCTGCATCTACTGAGATGATTATGTGGTTTTGGCCCTTCATGCTGTCGAGGTGATATTCCGTGTTTATTGATTTGCATATGTTGAACCATTTGTGCATTCCTGGTATGAATGCCACTTGAAGATGGCGTATTATCTGTCTGATGTGCCCTTAGAGTCAGTTTGCTAGTATTTTGTTGATTTTTGTGTCTCTATTCATTAGGAATATTTTTTTTAACTAATGGATTTTTGTTTTTTTACTGTTGTATTTTCGTTTGGGTTTGGTATCGGTGTGATGCAGGCCTCACAGAACGAGTTAGGGAGAATTCTCTACTCTTCAGCATTTTTGAGTAGTTTCAGGAGCATTGGTATTAGTTCTTTGCATGCTTGGCAGCATTCTTCTGTGAATCCACCCGATCCTGAGCTTTTCCTCACTGGGAGACGTGTCATCACCGATTCATTTGCTACTCATTAGTGGTCTTTTCAGGGTTTTTATTTCTTCCTGATTCATCCTCAGGAGGTTGTGTGCTTCCAGGAATTTATTGATGTTCTCTAGGTTTGACAGCTTGTCAGCATGTAGTTGTTCATAATAATCTCTGCTGGTTATTGTATTTCTTTTTTAATTTTAATATATTAAGGGGGGTACAAATAAGGGTTGTTAGTGTACCCATCACCCACGTGGTTTTCATTGTACCTGCTGGGTAGGTTTACACTTCTCCCCTCCTCCCTTCTGGATTCCCAATGCCTTTTACTTTTTTTTGAGACAGAGTCTCACTTTGTCACCCTTGGTCCAGGGCCCTGGTGTCATAGGTCACAGCACCCTTAAACTCTTGGGCTCAAGTGATCCTCTTGCCTCAGCCTCCCTAGTAGCTAGGACTACAGGTGCCCACTGCAGTGCCAGGCTATTTTTTAGAGACAGGGTCTCCCCAGAGTGCTGGGATTAGCCTTTTACTTCTAACTGTGCCCGTGAATGCCCATCAAGTAGTTCCAAATTTATGACTTTTCATGGCTGAATAGTACTCCATGATTATTTATATACACATAGACAGTTATACAGAAGATGCCAAAAATGTATACACAAAACAGTAGCTATGTGAAAAGGCCGGTATGTTAATTAGCCTGACTATAGTGTTCATTTCGCTATGTAAGTGTATATCAAAAATCACAGGTTATATCCACTAGGAGATATTGTCCAGCCTTAAAGGGGAAAGATACCCTCTCATTTGTGACAACAGAGATGAACCTGGAGGACATTATGCTAAGTAACACAAGCCAGATGCAGGAAGAAAAGCACTGCATGGTATCATTTATGTGTAGAATCTTCAAAAGTTGAATTCATAGAAGCAAAGAGTAAAATGCTGCTTATCAGGGGCAAGAGTTGAGGATGCAGGGAGATGGTGCTCAAAGGGTACAAAATGTCAGTATTGTAGGATGATTAAGTTTTGGAGATCTAATGTATACCATGGGGACTATAGTTAATAATACTGTATTATGGAGTTGAAATTTGCTATAAGAGTAGATCTTACGTGTCACACACACACAACAGTAGCTATGTGAAGAGATGGGTAGGTTAATTAGCCTGACTGTAGTGTTCATTTCACCATGTGTGTCTAAAAAATCACACCCTACATATGTGTAATTTTTAGATACATTAAAAAAGAGAATATGGCGCAAATGCAATGGTGCCATGAATTTTACTTCCATCTGTGCTCATGACTACTGATTGGTTAGTTCCAATTTAATAGTGACTACATGCAGTGTTTCTTTCTCCATTCTTCAGATACTTCACCTACCTCACTTAGGGGAGTGGCCTCCAGTTCCATCCAAATGGTTGCAAAAGGTGTTCATTCATTTTCTAAAATCACCTGAGTAGTATTTCATGGTAGACAGAGGCCACATTTTATTAATCCATTCACGAATTGATGAGCACTTGGATTGATGCCCCATCTTTGTGAGTGTGGATTTTGCTGCAATAAACATTCCAGGGCAGGTGTCTTTTTACTGAAATGAATTTTTTTCTTTTGGGTAGATACTCAGTAGTGGGATGACTAGATCAAACGGTAGGCCTAATATTAGTTCTTTGGGGAATCTCCATATTGTTTTCCATAGAGGTTGTACTACTTTGAAGTCCCACCAATAGTGCATGAACATTCCTTTCTCTCCGCATCCAGGCCAGTGTCTATTGTTTGGGGACTTTTTGATAAAACCCATTCTCACTGGGGTTAGGTGATACCACACTGTGGTTTGGATTTCATCCTATGTTACCATCCATCATGGCACAATACATTATTGTTAACTAAACCCCACCCTTATTGTGGCTTTACTGGTTTTTACTTAATGTTCTTTTTTAAAAAAAAATTTGAATTGATATGAGGGTACAAATCTTTAGGTTACGTTATTTTCATTTCTAAGGTAACGTTCAAGTTGTAGCTGAGCCCTTCATGCAGGGGGTTTGCTGTGTACCCTTTGTGCACATTCTGTCCCAGGAGCCCATCCAGGGTACCATGTTACCTTTAATCATCACGTCTCTTTAGCCTCTCTGGTCTGTGACAATTTCTCAGAATTTCCTTGTTTTTGATAAATTTGACAGTTTTGAGGAATAGTTATCAAAGATTTTTCAGAATGTCAGTTAATTTGAGTTTTTCCTGATGTTTTTCTGGTTGTGAGTCTGGGGTTAGAGGTTTGGGGAAGAAAAACAAGAGGGGTGACATCCTCATCACATCACATCACATGTTCATGCTATCCATCCATTTTATGGAGAAATGATTTTATCAGGTTTGTCCACGTAGGGTTACCTTTTCATATCTTTCCACGCACATCTCTTTGGAAACAAATCACTAAGCATAGCCCATGGGCCAGGAAGACAGAGGTTAAGCTCTACCTCCTTGAGAAGGGAATATCTATCAAAAAATTTTTAATACCAATATAAACTACTTGGAATTATTCTGTATATTATATGTTCCTTCTCGCCAATTTAGTAATCTATCTCTTATTAATATTTATTCAATCACCACGGACTCATATTTATTTATTTTATATGTTGTATTATAATCGAATGCTGTGCTATTTATTTTATCACTCAAATTGTCCCGGGTTTGGTCATACAAAGCTCTTTCAGACTGAGCCCTGCGTCCTTTTTTTTTTTTTTAACATGCCTCCATTCTTCTGATTTTCGCTCAGTGCCTTGGGCTTCTGATTTTTCTTTCCTGGGACTACAGGAAGTTTCAGGCTTATCTTGCATTTTTCCCTGAACCCTAGAACAGGAGATAAGAGGATAATTAAGAGAACACAGGCCACAAATTCGTGGTGGATGTTACAGGGAATAAATCCAGTCTTTCAAATGCCTGTAATTGTTAGAACGAAGCAATATAGAAAACAAAACTGGAGTATGAGTCTGAAATGTAGTTAGAGAAGAAACTTTCCATGTTGATCGTATTCCGAGGGTACATCTTTAAGAATTAGGCAGAGTGTATACCTGGATTATTCTTGTGCTGTCTTGCGCATCAAGACCACAATCAAATCTGATGCAGCACTGCAATTCAGAGCAATTCCTGAGTCTTTTACATTTCCCCTCCACTCCAAATGGCTCCACTTACAGAAGGGACGAACACACGGCAACAGCAACAAAGGACCACAACAAAAGCCTAAAAAGTTCTGTCTGGGAGTTATGGATTTCGGTTTCCCTCCACTTCACATGGTGAGCTCTGCGATGGCGGAACCCTGTTTTCATCTAACTTCCCAGTTCACTGCTGGTATGCAGAAGCCCAGGCAATCAGACTTCTCCATGGTTCGACTTTGGCAGCTCTGTTCTTCATCCAAACAAAGTGCCCGTCGAATCTCCTGAAGTGTTCTCTCCTTCCCAACTGCCTTCTCTTAGTCAATGCCATTCTGTGTGCTCACACTGCCATGTCTACTAACTTAACGCAGGTGTTGAAATCCTGTGTATTTTACTAAACACCGCTTTTTAAAAAAAATTTGAAATTTGTAGGAGTGTATAAAATTTTAAGTTACATTGTTTGCAATTCTAAGGTAAAGTTCAATTCCAAAGCAAAGCCCTTCAAAGGGGGAGGGGGATTTGGGGGGAGAGGCAGTGCCGACCCCCCTCCCATTGGGCACATTAAGTGAGCTCCCACCAATCGCCCTCCGTCTCCTCCCTCCCCTCTCCTTCCTTTCGCTTCTCCCTTTGTTGGACCTGGAGAGAAGGGAACACTTTTACACCACCTGCTCCGGTGGGATTGCAAACTAATACAACCTGTATGGAAAGAAGTATGGAGAATTCGTAAAGAACTCAAAGTCAATCTTCCATTTGATTCCACAAGTCCATTACTTGGTATCTAGCCAGAAGAACACGGTGCTGCCTTTATCTTAAACTCACTCGGGAACTTCCCCTGGATACTTGCTTCACTTTTCCCTCTCCTAAATGACACGTCAATTTTCCTGGGTTTCGTATTCTAGCCTTCCAGGTTTTCTTAAAATTTTATTTATTTGTCTTTTTAGTACACTGTGTTAAGGACACTTTTCAAGGACAGGCTCTGAGTCGTTCTTATCAATTCATTACCTGGTATATAGTGAGTGATCATTCTCTGGTTAAAGAACAAATGACTCGGAAAACTGGCAGAGGTTTACTAGAATCTACTCAAAGGTCTTTCTGGGGAATCAAGAAACCAGAAGGAAAAAGATGTAGATCTTGTCACCTTCGTTTATTAGAATAGATGGAGAGATGAATGAACAGGAATTTATATTTGATTTATGCAAAATAGGTATATGTCTTGGGGGTTGAGGAAGGGTATGTTATATCTTCGTCTTGAGGAAGAGTCAGTGCAACTTCTGGTGGTTTTGGACGAGGTGGCTGTGTAATTCTTCTACGCGCTATCACCTCCTTGATACTGAGGCAACAAAATCTCCCATTTGGACATAATACGAAACGCATTTCGGCTATTTTGCAGATTTTCCTGCAATGTCCTTGTACGTGGTTATCCCAACACTTCTTAACTTGTTCAGTTACTGTGCACAGAAAAGAGCGATAGGGTAAGATCATAATTTGAGACTGGAGGCAGCTTTGGTTTGGGGGAAAGGCAGAGGAGGCTTGTAGGGATTAGAGGCATGGGGAGTCCGCTAGGCATATGCTCCTAATGTCCCAAAGAAAAGTGAGCCTTAGGGTTCATGTTTACCTGGATCCACTCACGTTTAGGTCCTGTAAGATTTCGAGCCTCCTTTCAACATCTGATAGACTGCCTCAAACTTAAGGTCTTGTTGGAGAAAATAAAGGAGCTGAGTCCTTGATTCTTGGATATGAACTATGTTCCACATGGGAACCTCGGCAGATCTGCCTCCATCCTGCATGCTCCTAGGGGACTACCTCCTTACTAATGCCACACCTCTGATCCCTACAGGACAGCATGTTGACTCAGCAGATTTATGTCTGAGTCAAACTATTCTCTTGGATTCATTCCTACTACTGAGGTCAAGAATGGCTTTCTTGTTATCCAGTCAGGTCTTTTTCTCCCCTCACTAATCTTCCTTCCTTATTTATTCTCAGTCTGGTGAGCTTCTGCCAACCTGTATCTTCCTTTGGCTTTGACGGTATCACAACAATCTGGATGCCCTTTAGTTCTTGGACTTGTTTTATTCCCCTGTGACTTCTCATTCTCCCTCCATCTCCAGAGGCAGGAATATCCTCCAGTTTTCAGCCCCAGACTTTGCTGATCTTGATATATATATTTTTTGTTTGTTTTAGTGATCTTAAATACTTTGGATGATCTAAACAGGGAGGCTAAAATTTTGGCTTCTGGATTTATACAACCCCTGGACTAGACCCCAGAGGCTGAAGACTGAAAACCAAGATGACCCTTTCAACCTCTGGTTCTAGAACTTCTTTGAGTCTTAGGAATTTTGGAGGCCGGGGTAGCTCATGACTGCTCTGATAATAAGGTACAATTACAAGAAATGAAAGAGGAAAGAAACTAATTTTCAGGTTCTTACTGTGTGCCTAGTGCTACGGCAGGTGCTTCACATACATCGTATCACTTAATAAAACTTCTGTGAGCCAGGTAGCTTTAGGGCCACAGATGAGGAAACCGTGGCTCATAGTCTTTACTACTTACTCAAATTTGACAAACTAGTCTATGGAAGGTAAGTTTCTTACACCTAACCCCCAAATTTACTTCTTTCACTATTCACATACTGTAGCGTAATAGGCTAAACATATATATGTGAATGGGAGAAAATATGGCTGAGTGTCAAAGTAAAAACTGTACCCAAAGAAATAAGGGTAGCACCCTAGATACTGGCCTCATTACTTTCTATAACAAACCTATAACAAATCCTTCCCAGAAGACATTATGACTTCTTTTCAGCTCTGTGAATACTTCTTTTTAAGGATAGTACCATGGTATAAGGCTATGAAAAAGGAAATTTCTTTCTTTCTTTTTTTCTTTTTTTGAGACAGAGTCTCACTCTGTCACCCAAGGTAGAGTGCTAAGGCATCATAGCTCACAGCAATCTCAAACTCTCGGGCGTGAGTAATCCTCTTGCTTCTGCCTCCCAAGTAGCTGGGACTATAGGCGTGTGCCACTATGCCCAGCTGGAAAGGAAACTTCTGATGATGTTGGATAGACATCAGCCATCCTTGAGGGCCCTGTACCATCCTACTGTGGAATATGCAATTCTCTGGGGCTACTGAAAATTCTTAATTGCATTATTGATTTAACAGAGTCCCTGAAAAGCTCTGCGTTACCTGTGGGTTTCTGGAACAGCAGAATTCCTATGGTCAGGAAGAGCCCCATCACCATAATTCACAGAGGAGGTGCAGCCAAAACTGTTGGTCCAATAAGCTGAACACTGAATCACCTTCCTCAGAGACTTGGATTCTTCTGCACTGAACCAGAACAGATGGTATGATATGAAGTGTGCCCCCCAAATTCTCAGCTGTGAGTTTTTCATCATGTGGGCAGACACGGGAAATTTAAGGTCATCCGCTTTACCCCCACACGGAATTCAGAGACACGGCATGTTCCATCCCATCACACCTGATGCCATTCTGTAGGCTGTAGACCACTGGTGGGAAGAATCTATGCTTTTCCTACTTTGGCTGTCTGCCCAGCTAGATCAAAGTAGGCATGTAACTATCTATAAGAATGAATAAGGAAATGTAAACCAAGAAATAACCCCCCAAAGCCAACAAGAAGAATCCATAATAAGACTCTTCCATGTTTAGAAAGAAGGTTATGATGTAGTTGGGTCTAATCCAAGATCACCTGATTTTTGACAAAGGTGCCAAGAAGGCCAGTTCCCAGTGCATCCTTCAAAGCAATTTTGAAACTCTTTCTGGAATGGCCATTGGAACTATCATCACACAGGATCTGACAATTAAGTTCATGAAGTCATCCTAGAAAAGGAGCTATACACCTCACCGCTGAATATCACCACAGTCACCTTAGAAGCCCTTCCCGTGGCCATCTGGTGCCAGTAGTGATATTCAGCAATGAGGTATGTATCACTTTATCTAGGATGAGTTTGAGAACTTAATTGTTCAACCTTGTATATTTCTGGGCTTATTGCAGCACTATTCATAATAGCCAAATATAGAATCAACCCAAATGACCATTAACAGGTGAAAGGATAAAGAAAATATGGTATGTATACCCAATGGAATACTATTCAGCCACAAAAAGAATAAAATTCTACAATTTGTGGCAATGTGCTTAGCCTAGAGGACATTATGTTAAGCAAAGACATCAGGTACAAATGTTCTCGTTCATATGCGGGAGCTAAAAAAAAATTGATCTCATGGAAGTAGAGAGAAGAATTGTGGATAGTAGAGGCTGGGAAAGGTTTGGAGGAGAAGAGAATGGGGCGAGATTAGTTAATGGATACAAAATTACAGCTTGGTAGGAGGAATGAGCTCTGGTGTTGCAGCACTGTAGTGTGAATATAGTTAACTAGAATTCACTGTATATGTACATTTTTTATTATTTCAGAATAATGTGAGGGTACCTATGATTAGGTTGCATTGTTTGCCTTTGTATTTGAATCCTTCACCCAGGAGGTTGCCTTATACTCCGACACTGCACCTGTTAGGTGGGAGCTTACTGAGCCCCTTCCTCCCTCCACTCTTGAATTTAATTGTGTTTTTCTTCTCATGTGGTCCTGTAGTCGTTCATCTACTAGTTTCAGATTTGTATCGAGTACATGGGATGCTTGTTTTTTCATTTTTGCGATGCTTTACCAAGGAGAATGTTCTTCAACCCCACCCAGGTCAGTACAAAAGATGTAAAGTCTTCATATTTTTTTATGGATGAAGAGTATTACACAGTGTACATCTTCCACAGTTTATTAAGCCACTCATGGGTTGATGGGTGCTTGGGTTTGTTGGCAAGCATGTGGAGAGAAGGGAACACTTATGTACTGTTGGTGGGATTGCAAATTAATACAGCCTTTTTAGAAAGAAGCATGGAGACTCCTGAAAGAGCTTTCCTTTTGATCCCCCAATACCGTTACTAAGTATCTACCCAGAAGAAAAAAAATTATTTTACCATAAAGACATTTGCCCTCAAATGTGTATCGCAGCTCTAGTCATCACATGTTTTTAAAAGGTTGGGGGAAAGGATTTTGAATGTTCTCAACCCAGAGAAATTATAAATGTTTGAGGATATGCTATTTATCCTGATTTGATCATGCATGCTGTGTATCAAAATATCACTCTGTATCCCACATATATGTATAATTCTTATGTGTCAATTAAAAATAAAAGGAAAAAGTGGCTAAAGTGGCTGATTTTATGTTATATGTATTTTACCACAATTTAAAAAAAAATGCAAAACTACAGTAGAACCTCTGTAAGTGGACCACTCAGGAGATGGTAACAAACTGGTCAACATACAGAAGTGGCCAACATAAGGAACTAGGCCTGCTGTTCTAATACCTATGTGTGGTGCACGTCTGAACTATGAAAATTAGGTCAACTGAAGGAGGTGGTCAATGTAGAGAGGGGTTCAACAATGGAGGTTCTACTGTATTTTTTCTTTTTATCAGATGTACTTTGAGAATATTATCTTTATGTTTTGAATTACCTTTAAACATATTTAAAATTCCTTTATCTTTATTATTTTATTTATTCTATTATGATTTAAATATGTAGATGTTCAAGTGAGAATCTTGTAACTGAGAACCTTTCACTAAGTAAAATATCTCCACAAGAGGGAGATGTTCCCCTAGATTATTCTTGGATCATTGTATTTTTCAAAACATTTCAACCTTGACAACCTTTGATATGCATTAGAAAGTAAGCCAGTTGGCTTGGATGAGCACATCTCCATAATTCAGGTCCCGCAATAGTTTTACACAGTAATATCTTGTACAAGAAATTAACATGGAAGAAATCCTTTCTGCAGGCAAAGGTAAATTTAAGAGAAATTACCTCAGAGGCCCCAAGGATTACCTTTGCTATGAGACCTACACAATTTAAGCTTTAGTCAAGGAATTGGTTTTATTATTTATTTGTAGTTTTCTGTGGATGTAAATTTCCCCTATAGGTGACTGGTTGGTGAAGCATCAAATAAGGACAATAAGTTAAGTCTGAGCATTCAGGAGAAGTACATGAGGATTTCTTATTGTTTAAATTTTATTTCTGAAAGTGAGTGTTAAATTACTACTGAGAAACATAAGCATAGGAATGGGTTCTAGTACTGAGGACAAATCATTAATAAAACAAACAACTAAGTAAAGAAAATGTATAATATTCATATTAGCAGAAGAAAATATGATCTGTCCAACAGAAATGAAGAAAATGGGTCACAACTAGAGTGCAAGAAAAAGTCCAGATATGAGTAATAGATTGAAAAAATGATGCCAGCAATATCAAAAAATCAGACACAGTAATAGTAAACTTTTATTAGTGGAAATATAGGTATGTTGAACGATGTATTGGGTGAAAATGACCCAAAAAGTTAGATAAACTTAAAAAGGAAATTATTATTATGCTGAGCAGGTGTCAAAAACAAAAGGAATATGCACAGTCTGAAAACTATGTATATAAACTCTGGAAGGTAAATTGAGTACCATAGCTATGTGGGATGTATAAAATCAAGACCCAGTCCTAGGTGAGATATATAACTGACATCCTTTACTAGGCCTGAAATTCAAAGGCAACAAACTCAGCATAAACAAGAATGAGATGATTCTCTCTCTCTCACGCACACACACACATATGAGTGTACACACATGTGCACACACACACACATACACACACGGTCTGTATTGGATTTTTTTTTTTTTTTTTTTTTTGCCAATGCTAACCTTGGCTCTGGATGAAGGAGGGAGATGTTAACCCTATACTAACCCTAGAAAACTATAACCAAAACTCCTCATGGGTTTTCAATCTAAGTTCAAGCTACTTACATAGATTAAAAAAAAAAATCAAGTAGGTTGTTGCCTGCTTTGTCAAAGATCAGGTAATTGTAGATGGTTTTATATCTGGGTTCTGTGTTTGGTCCCACTGGTTTATGTTTCTATTTTTGTACCAATACCACGGTGTTTTGGTTATAATGTCCTTGTAGTATAGTTTGAAGTGTGGTAATGTGATGCCTCCAGATTTGTTCATTTTGCTTAAGATTGCTTTGGCTACTTGGGTGGTTTTCTGGATTCAAATGAAGTATAGAATTATTTTTTCTAGATCTGTGAAATATGACTTCGGTAACTTGATGGGGATTGTACTGAATTTATAAACCACTTTGGGTAGTATGGACATTTTAACAATGTTCATTCTACCTATTCATGAGTACTGTATGTTTTTCCATTTGTTTGTTAAGTGTTCAATGATGTATATTGGGGAAAAGAAGCGATATTCAATAAATGGTGGGGGGAAAATTGGATAGCCAAATACAGAAGAATGAACCAGGATCCCTACCTCTCACCAATGACAAAAGTTAATTCAATATGGATAAAAGACTTAGATCTAAGTCATGAAACCATAAGAATTTGGGAGGAAAATGTAGGAAAATCTCTTCTAGATATTAGCTTAGACAAAGAATATTAAAAAAGACCACAAAGGCAATTATGGCTACAACAAAAATTAACAAGTGAGATTTGGTTAAACTAAAAAGCTTCTGCTGGCTTGGCATCCATAGCTCAGTGGTTAGGGTGCTGGCCACATACACCAGAGCTGGCAGGTTTCAACCCAGCCTGGGCCTGCTAAATGACAATGACAACAACAACGACAACAATAAAATAGCTGAGTGTTATGATGTGTGCCTGTAGTCCCACCTACATGGGAGACTGAGGCAAGAGAATTGCTTAAGCCCAAGAGTTTGAGGTTACTGTGAGTGTGATGCCATGGCACTCTACTGAGGGTGACATAGTAAGACTCTGTCTCAAAATAAAAATAAATAAGAAAATAAAAAGCTTCTGCACCCCTAAGGAAATAATCAAAAGAGAAAATAGACACCCTATACAATGCAGAAAATATTCGCAAGGTACACATCCATTAAAGGGTTAATAAACAGAATTTACAAAGAACTCAAGCAAATCAGCAAGAAAAAGCATGCAACCCTGTTAAAATTGGGCAAAAGACAAGAACAGAATGTTCTCCAAAGAAGGAAGACAAATGGCCAATAAGCATATAAAAAATGCACAATGTTAATAATGACCAGGGGAATGTAAATTAAAACCATAATGAGATGTCACCTGACCCCAGTTCGAATGGCATTTTTTAAAAAGTCCAAAACCAATAGATCCTGGCAAGGGTGTAGAGAGAAAAGAACATTTAGACACTGTTAGTGGGACTAAA